TTTATAGATTACGCTTCAGTTTGTGTTGGATTTGCAGTCCCCGCAGTAGTTGTGTATGTCTTATATGGTCCTGTTACAATATGGTGTGGTCAATGTTGAGATGTGCAGTTTAAGTTTAGATTATTGCACCAGCCTTTGCAGCGCACAGCTGGGGTCCTTGAGTAGTGAGCACAGAGAGCAGGCTGTTGCTTAGACTGCAGCTGGATGGTATAACAGGGAGCAGAGAGAGACCAGGAAGTGGTCACCAATAAAAGGACCGGGACAGGAAGTTAGCAGCAGTGCTGAGCCAGCCCATGCCATCTGTGATGGAGCCTACGCGTGTCACAGCCTTGTCCTGCTCCTGGGATGGACTCTCTTCTTCGGGGAGGTAGTCCGGGATGTCTGTGTTCTCCTCCACCAAAACAGCTGCGCCCTCCTGGAAGGGCACAATCCGCTGTACAAGAAAATAAAAAATATGGGTTGAAAACAAAATAAATTTAAATAAAACGCACTGTGAAATCAAATGTAGATATAAGATTAAAGTTACTACAACTACAATAAACTCTAGATTCTTCCACTGTCAAGAGTAAGTGAGCTTTGTCTGACCCCTACTGGTCAATAGGAGAAATTACAACAAACCCTTTATTTCTAGTTCAACAAATATTCTCACTGATCTAAAATAAAAAAAAAAAAAAAAACAACAAACAATTATTTCATGTATGGGGAGGACATTTAACACTCGAAAGTTTAATTTATAGCCTTAATTTTATTCAACCAAATTAACCAGCCCAATACCAGAGCAAAGAGGTGGGCAGCACAATGTCAGTGTAATGAAGTCTCAAGCAGAGGCAGTTACACACCATTTAAAACACTTGTCCATCTCTACGGTTGTAACTTACAGTTTTTTAATTTTTATTTTCTCAGACCATACAGCTTTAGATCATAATTTGCTTGTTCTTACCTCTCCACCATCTTCTGTCTTCACCACCTGCTGAGCTGTCAGTACTTTGGTGGAGTTGATTGCTGTGCCCAATGCCTATTCCAGCAACAAACAAAGTATAAAAAGTAGCAGAACAAACATTAACAACATTCCTCTTAATCCCAAATACCCTGTAAATAGATTTCAAGGTGTGATGAGATTATGAATGAATACAGACCTCTGCTTTAAGATCAGAGCGAATCCTGACGACACATCGCTTGACAGCCATCTGGAAGGTGAAGCTGATGACCCCTCGAATCTTCAGCAAAGCCTCTTCACAAAGACCCCTGCGGCTCTATCAAACAAAATGTAAAAACTAAACTGAACAAAAAGAAGAAACTATAAGTCTCTTATCTTTTATAAAGTATGGTAGGATTTGGCAGCTTGTCTGATGCTAAAACTGATAAATAAGCAGACCGCTAGAGGATGTGAATCTACTGTTATGTTATCTGGCTAGCTTCAGATATCCAACAGAGCAGCATTCAGGTTCAATCTCTGCGACCTGCTGTTCAATAGTTGACATTTACAACCTGACCCTGCCTCCCTCGGTTTGTGGCAGACAGACCCAAGACACAGTGTCAACATAAACAAACATGTGCAGTGCATCGGAGCATGACAGATGCACACACAGTAAACCCTCACAGAGTCATCCAGTCCATCGATGTGCAGCACCACGGTTTTGGCCCTCTTGTTGTTGGAACCCAAGAAGAAATGGGCTTTGCGTCGACAGGAGGCTGCAGATTCCTCCGCCTGTTCAGCCTCTTTCCCAGCCGACTGTAGGATCTCATAGATTTCTGAGGCCAGTAGCTTGGTTTCCCCTGGTGACGTGCCTCTGTTGAGATCAGAGGGACTATTCAATATACACACAATGGTCCAATTTATTCACTGTATGAATCATAATTCCTAGACTTTTTTGTCGGCCAAAATAATTTGAATACACGACATGACTGTTAGGACAACAGAACGACAGAGTAACTAGTTGCAGTAAAAAGACTATTTAAAATGTCATCTTAGTAACCACAAGTATCTGATAAATTTGCTATTGCATCATGTTAGTACATTTTTTTTAATCTCTTAAACACGTTTTGCGGTTGCTAAGAGTGATACTTGAAATCGCCCTGCAGGCCAAACGGTTCTGTTATAATGTCACAAAGTCATCACTACTTTTGAGGTAAGTACATTTGACGTGAGCTGTCTGACACTGCAGCCCCTTTGTGAGACTGCCTCTTTTAAAAGCAACCCCCCCCCACTGTCTTTTTTAAACTTTAACAATCTATTTTATAAAACTATTTTGATCTTTATTTTGTCAATTATTGAGTACTTTACTTTCACAACAAAAAAATTGTATTTAAAATGCACTGCATTTCACAATGGCCCTTTGTTTGAGTTTACAGTCTGTCGAGCTATGAACGACCTCTACCCAAAGTCAGTGTGACAGGCTGCGAGGAGAGAAAGCTGTTGCTGTTACTGCAGGGCTTCTCTTGATGCCAGTCTCGTCTAGCTGAAGTGACTGTGGAGCTGCAGGGTGAACTACAACATTACTGCTACAAGGGAGGAAAATCATACAGGCCATCAACCATGGGCCACTTAAACAATAGTGCTAATGATAAAGAGTAGCCACTTAACACCTCCACAGCAAAACAAGATGCACATGCAATTTTATGCCTCGATTGCAAATATGTCTCGGCCCCTGTCAGTGAAAAACAAAAACTGACTTCATCAAAAATGCTGAAAGATGCCACAATGTATTACAACTTTTGACATGGAAGTCCCTGGCAGATTCCTTTCCAGTTCAGCTTTAATACCCATCACCCTTACTTTGGTTTGCCTGAAACAAACATTTTTATAGGTTTATACAAAATGTGTGTGTTGCAGTAACAGGAACTTACTTTTGCATAACGTTCTGCAAACTCAGCATCATGCCCAGCTCGCTCTTCATTTTCTCTCGATTGGCTCGACATTCTGCCAGGTAGCGGACAGCCTGCAGAAACACAAAATGCAGAAGAGTAAGAAAGAGAGAGACAACATTGGTTGTGACTGTTCAATAGTATTACACAATAAGTTAAAACAGACAAGTCCAATGTGTTCATACTTTTTTGGTTGCTGATATGAGGCAACTTTTACATAAAGCAGCTATGATAACACAATATTGTCCTTGTGGATAGGGGTGGTAAAACTGGGCTTGACAGAAAAATTATTGTACTACATGTACTATACTGTGCAATTAATTTAATTTACTTACTTTTTTTGTTGAAGGATACGTTTTTTAGATTTACGAAGACTGACGTAGGCTGTGCATTTTCATGAAATGGCCAACATACGCAGGATGTGTAAGTTGATAGAATAAATGAGGCATAGAAATCCAACAAAATAGATTCCAGTGATTTGACTCATATAAGGAGATTCTTCCTCTTTCTTAATAGGTTGAGCGAGCTACTTCTATTCTGGACATACAGACTCCCCTGTGCCACGAAAAAAATTACTTTTAATTCCTTTAGTTTGCTACCAGGCAGCTGAATTATTTCTGTACCACTTTTCTTTTTGCTATATGTAACCATGATATGTAAAGCTATATATTTAAATCAGGCTCTAGGTGCATCTAAATAATTGTATGCAATTGTATGAGCATTCAAAAGAAAAGCCATTAAATAGTATGTTTTTTGCTTGTTTGTTGTATAATGAGCATTGCCACTTAAAACAGTACAGTTGATTGTCAAACTATTCAACTACCTATGTTGCACCTGATGTAATATTGTTTGAAAATGAACTAAAAGCCAAATATAGCTGATCGATACATACCAATAGTGCAGAGTAGACAACTTGTGGATTAGGGTGGTCTAAAAAAAGGATGAGACCAGGGAGACAGCCCTGATCTTCAACTATGGCTCTTCTGTTGAGGGGATCAGCGGCAAGGTCTCTGAGCTGGTTCACCACAGTCAGAGCATCCACCTCTGCACTCATGGTGCTGCTGGTCTGGATGCCACACACATCAAACCAGCCACTTCCTTTGACAAAAGCAAAACATACATTATTAGGTATGAAATTAATTCCCATGTTAATTGATAATGCATGTGCTCTTTAATTATGATAAACAATAAAAGGTTTAGTATTTAAGACTGAATAAAAGCTTATGACTTAAAAAGGTGCACTGCACAACTTTTACCTACTTGTCTGTGTTATTGCTTTGCCAAGAATGTTCCATGGTATGACATTTAACATATCCATCTAGCATTTATCCACTACGGCTGTTTCTATTGCTCAAAAATCAATAATCCCTTCTCTGAATAGGGTAGACTCTCCACAGATCTGAATTGTAATGTAGCGCAGTGCTGTAACCATTCTACACAAAGCAATAACCATGGAGACAAGCATGTGGCGGACCCTCCACTGACAACTCTGTGGTTTTAGCTACCTCAGTTACAAGACGCACAAATGTCAACAAATGAAGTCTACAGAACATGAATAAATATAAAAACAACGAACAATTAGATCCCAACACAAGTCAATATAATATTATATGAAAAGCACATGATAACAAAGACGTAGTGCCCTCTGGCCTCGTAGCGCTGTCATCATCAAAGTACTTATGGTACGCTAAGGCACCATATAGCTTTCAAGTGAAGAAATGGAAAATAAAAAACAAACAAATAAACAAAAGCCCTGCCAAGACACTGAATACTTTACAATAAAAGTGAGACAGCATTTTGTCAAAGACGACCCCCCTTAAAGTCATCACCTCAATCACGCCCTGTGCAGCTAGCTAGAATAACTCGGCTAACGTGACAAATCTATCTTACCTCTCGGTCAATTTGCAATAAAACTGCAAACACTCGCTGATAGTCTTAGCAACGAATGATCCTAATCAAATAAAAAAGCCCACAATTATAAAAGAAGCGACGAAGCAGTAGGCCTCAGAGCTCTAGCTAGCAGCTGTGCGGTGTTTAGGTTTTTGTGACACATAAAGGGTGCACTTGCTTTCAGTCATGGGACTTCCCGGTTTTTTGCTGTATTTCTCACAGCTACGCCAGAATCCTGAGCGGGAAACAACGGTGTCAGTATCAAACGCACACTTTACTAACATGTGATTGGCTAGTACATTGTAGTCGACGAAGATTCATCAAATTAATATTTAGCTTTTCAGATAGTTTTTGTTTTTACTTGTTTTCTTTGCTGTAAGTTTACAATTAATTACGATGAGGTAATTTATGCGTGATCTAAAGATCACATGATCCATCCAGCGCTTTGCCATTGGCTGAAAAAATACTCCTCCGAGCCAGAGTCTTCTCTTCGTTCGCTCGTCGCTTTGACAAGGTGGAAAAAGTGAAAAGTTTCATAAAAGTTGTCTTTTGGTGAGTTTCTTCTAACTTTGCATTTAGAGCTCCCATTCTATCTCTTTCTCACCTGTTTGTGTACAACAGTGATCGGGGTGCCAGGGTTAACCTTTCATTTCTCTCTCAGATTTTCGTAAACAGCTCAAGTTAGAAGAAGACGGTGTAGCAACAGTTAGCCACATCACCTGCTAAGTTCACGTTGAGTTCTTTAAAGTAAGTAAATTGTTCTCACCAAACTGCGATACTACACGAATAAATATCGTCGCGTGGTCTAGAGAAACGATGGTCTTAATTTATACCCAGTCAATGCGTTTTTGTAATAAACTCAACAGAACAAATGTTGCTAAATAAACATGTGAACATGGGCTGTCATGGAGTATCAAGCATGGAAATGTGAGTTATGGTTTGATTTATTTTTTAATTCGTATGTACCTTTTCTAATCTAATGTAGTTTCCTGGTTACCCTGATGACCTACCTCTGAAAATGCTCTCACACCGGGGGCATGTGGGTATTTGAAAACTCACAGAAATGAGCAAAAATTATGCGCGAATTGAAATGGATTTGGTGAGTGGCTTCACAGATCTGAGGATAGAAAGCTGTCTGTATCGTTTAACAGGTATTGTTCTGCAGGCTTTTGGAACAGCCAAGCCTTATGGGTCTTCCAGAAGTATAGTGAGGAGAATAGCGTCCAGTCTACCTCTTAAGCCCAGCCCCAGAGTTCATTTTCAGGTACGTCTCGTGTTTGCATCCATTCCCCTTTAATCCACCGAGGCATTAAATTCTCTTCTACTTCTTTCTCACATCTATCATCTATCTAAAAATTTGATGATTCCTATTTCCTGTAGACCTGACATTGAGAATTATATACTGTATTTCTGTCCGACCATGACGCACACATATTTTTAATCCTCCTCAACCTCTGTTTTTCTTTGGGAACCATAAACAAAGGGTTATTCTGCAATAACACACATGTAGTAGAGCTACTGCTATACTCCCTAGTCTTTTAATGTGCTTTTTCTATCTTGACTTTTCTTCAGTTTTGTGTGTCTCCTAAGTCATGAAGAATGCTTGAGGGTAGTTTGTTCACCAAGCTTTTACCTCCTACAGCTGATTAGAGACTACAGAAGTAGTAATGACCTACCTCGACCTTCCACTTCAAACAAACAGCCCTCAGCTCCACTAGCAGCCCGTATCTTAGCTTATTTACTTCCCAGGACCAGTGACCTCTAGCAAATTATTACACGATAATGTCATTTACATTGGTCTAGTCTTTTCACCCATGGGTTTCTTTTCTATGGTAGCTTTATCCATACACAGAGGATGCAGGCATCCTATTTGCTGCCAAGCCACGGCCTGGACTGGTGGCCTCTCTAGCTGATGTTGGCTGGATTGATAGAGATGATGAGGATGATGCAGACTATTTTGAAAGACCAAGGTAAGGTAAAAACCATTGATAATTAATTTGCAAGAGTGCATTTTTATGACTTAATAATATCCTGATTGTTCATTTTATGAAGGCCTGGGCTTCCTGCTGGTCTCTTGCTCAGAGCTCACGAGCCTCAGCAGAGACTCACCAGACAAAGATCACTCCCAAGCCTGCACCAGGGGCCTCCTGACCCCCAGGGCTCCATTATAGCTAATGATGAGGCCATACAGAAAATCAGTGCACTTGAAACTGAACTGGCCAAACTCAGAGCACAGATCGCACAAATAGTTTTGGCTCAGGAAAAGACTTCACAGCCAGGTATGTTTATGGTTTCTTTCCCTTTCAGTGATGTTCATATTATATAATTAAAACCAATAATTGCACTTGCATATACAATAATACATTTTTGAATTAAGATGAAGATTAGTTTGGAAGTTTACAGGGTTATTGCATGTTGCAGGGTCTGTATACTACCACTAGATGGTGCCAGAGTCATGCAGTCTAGCTCAAAGCTTTTATCTTTACTTTTCCTTTCTTTGACACCAGCTGCTGCTACAGGGGCTCCTCCCCCACCCCCTCCACCTAGTGGTACTCTGCCTCCCCCTCCCCCACCTCCACCTCCACCTCCCCCAAGCCTCCAGCGGACATTTTCAGCCATTGACTTGATTAAGGAGCGCAAAGGGAAGAAGACAGACAAACAGACAGTTTTAGAGCCTAAGCCAACAGAAATCCCCAACATGCTTGACATCCTGAAAGACATGGGCAAAGTTAAGTTACGCTCTGTCAAAAAGTGAGTTATTACACTGACAATTAAATCTAAAATCAGTGTCAATGCATATTTTTTATTATTTGTTTACGGCATTCATAAGTATAGCCATATTTTTTGGTGTTTACAGTCGTGGTGAGGAAGGTGATGTTAAAACAAAGACCAATGAGCCAGCAGACGCAGCAGCTCTGATCGCTGAGGCCCTCAAGAGAAAGTTTGCGCATCGCTACAGGCACAACAGTGAACCAGAGGACAAGGAGGATTTCAAACCATTTTTGGAGAAAAAGGCCAAACCAGCTGCCCCTTTGGTAAACCTTTAATAAGCTATTACACATTGTGTGATCTGACTTAATGATTTAATTATTTGTTGTTGTTGTTTTTGCAGTTTGGGCAGCACATGTTAAAGCCAACGGGAAAGAGGAAGCTAGTCTGAATGTGCCTTTTCCAAATCAGCTGTTGATACAATAGAATGAAAATGTTTGTTGACGAGGACACAGGCTTCCTAAACTACCAGTCATCTCTTATTTTGCACTTTTAATTTTGTAACTACAGTATATTAGTATTTTTGTTGTCATGAATGATTCCTGCTCATCATAGTGAGAGACCTGCATGTTAACACAGAAACAACGGTTCAGTGTTGAAAGTTCAATTTTACATCACATTGTTTTTAGTCAGTTGCACAGGGCAGTTTTGCATTCCCAGTTGCAGTGGGACAAAAAACTCAGTGGTTCTTCCACCACAGAAGAATGTGAGCACTTTCTTTCTACAGGAAAATTTTATTTTTGGTGGGATTCTTCAAGAAAGAAAGGAAGCGATATTTGTAAATGTGTGTATTTAATTTATGATAGGGATTCTTTTATTTATGCTGTGGCCTTGTCTTTATAGTTTTACCAACACTAATAATGTTTATAATGTTATTAATTTTAAGATACAGTACTTTTACATTGTGGCAGTTCATATACTTGCCAAAGCTTTAAATTTTAAATGTATTCCTGCTTTGATCAATATTAAAATCAAAGACATTCCAGACATTGCAGACATTCTGGGAAGCTTTAATTATTCCTTAACAATTTCTGTGTCGAGATTTTTATATATATATATATATATATATATATATATATATATATATATATATATATATATATAATTTATTATTATTATTATTACACACAATTATGCAGGAAAAGTGGCAGTCAATACAATTGATACTGACAGTTATTAGGCACTTTTTAAATGTAGTGATACTGTAAAACACTGATGCTGCAGTTCTGAAATAACTGTCATTTTAAGTTTTTTTGTACTTGTTAGCGAAGTTGTACCACCTCAATGTGAGCAATTATTGTGACTTGTGAATAAAGGCTGTTCCAAGTGTTGAATATGATTTTGTGATTTTTGATGCTGTTTTTTCAATAAACATTTTATGTATGGTATGATCTACAGATGTTAATCCATATTAATGGTTGGAGATTGGTTTCACAAATTTGCCACATTAATCTTATAATAAGCACAAATTCAAGGGCTTAATAATGCTGACAACTTCTGAAGCGATTGTGAAAACATTTTTAACCTTTTGATCATTAGTACCCACAGAAGATGTTCAACTTTTGTTTTATGTGAATAGGTCCAGATGTAAAATGTCTTAAGAGTTGAGCATATTTCAAGTATTACAATTAATCAAATGTGATAGAGACGTTATCAGCTCCTTAACCTTCTCAGGGGACGAGGAGTAGAGCCCAAACATTTGACAACAGGTTTTATTGTTCAAACTTTAACTGCAACAGGCATGTATCAAAAAGGTCAATACAGCAAAAGCCTTTACAAAATCTGGCTCGACATACAAGTCATCCCAAAAATGGCTGTCGCAACAAATTGTAAACAGTTTTATCAACAGTCTTACAGCACTTACAGCAAAATACAAATCAGCTAAAGTAAGAAAAGCACCTGTTATGTTTTTAAAATGTTCCAACACAAACACAACTTGTGCCACTGTACAGAATCAAAGAGGACAAAACCAAATAAGGAAATGGAATGTTCAAAGTCACTTGACCATTTTGTCTCAGTAAAAAAAAAAAAAAAAAAAGATGCTGTAGTTGTTCATTACAACAAAAGGCAAAGGGAGTGGACAGTGCATTCAGAGACAAGCACACCATGCACTTGATGGGAATAAGAGTTGGTTTGGTCACTTAGCATAGTTTGTGCATAGTTATAAGGCATCTATCGAGCAGTCCGTTAGGTTGCATGTGGCTGTGAGAGACATTCTGCAAACAGAAGAAAAAGTCTCGTCCACTAGATCCTAATCATGGAGAGAAAAACCAACAACCTTGCCTCCTGCCTGCAGCCGCCCCTCCTCCTCCAGATAAGAGACTGGCAAAACCCTGAGGAGTCGAGGTGCGTGGAGTGGATTTCCTGGTGAGATGCATATGCAGTGAGTAACTCATCTCTAGTGTGGGAGGGACTTTTCCCCAACATAAACAAACACAACATATTAAAACACACCAGTGTGGACTACTTTCCATACTTTAACAAGGATGAACACAAAGGCTGCTCGACGAATGCTGTCATTATGTGGAGTGCAAAAACAGGAGCGCAGGTGAAGAGTTAACTTATGGCATCTGGTGTGGTTGACAAAGATCTGCTAATGGCTTAAACAGTGAGATGACAGTTCAAACGAGTGGTTCTTCACATCTGTGCTTCGAAGGCAAACCATGACATGATTGACTTCAGTTGAAGGGAGAGAACAAACAAAAAGGAGATGCGTAAACAGTCTTCGTAGAGGCAGCAAAAGGACTGGGCTCGTCACATTTTTGTTTTTACATGAGGAAGAATCTTCAATACAAATGCAACATGGCATTACACTTAGTCTTAGGAGGGTGTCGTCGTGAATACTCCAGTTTCCAGTCAATGCAATTCATGTCATTCTTCAAACATTTGTTTTCAAATGGCACTTCAGAACACCACAAAGCGTGGTTGAGTTCATATACTGCTTTCCCCTAAATGCACCACAAAAGTGGTGTGTTCAGTCAGTAATGCCAAAACTACAGTGGATAAATAAATATAATAAAGCAAATAAAAGAAAATACAGCAGAAGCCAAATGAGGTATCTATGTATTGCTATATACCAAAAATAAAAATAAAAAAAATAAATAAATTAAATAAAACAGTGGTTTATCAATGGGAGGCAGAAGCAAAGCAAAAAAACAAATAAACAAAAAAACAAAACAAAAAACAAAGAAGCCGCTAGGATGTGGTGGGGTGCCCCACCTGCCCTACAGTGTGAGTGAAGCCTTGAGGCAGGTCAGGAGGCTGAGGTTGAAGAGCGAGAGGAACGTCAGGACACGCTGCTTCCCTGAGGTATTTCTTTGGAGCTGGTTCCTTCTGTCGTTCCAGCAGCGTCCCCGTCTTTTGAGGCTGCAGTGGTAGGCTCCGCCTCCTCAGAGGCACAACTCAGTTCCTGCTGCAAACCGCCCCAGCTGGCCTTGTTCAGTCCCATGTGGCCCAGCATGGTTTGGGACAGACGGGTGTCTGAGAAACGAGCCCACTCCGCAAACAGCGGCTCTGCCACATACGTCATGAAGCCTGGGGGAGGCAAGGTTCACAATGTTTAACTGCATTCAAACCAGTCCATGCATACTGAACATGTCTTATAGTGTACTTACCTATTTGAATGTTGCCAACACTATTCGTCTCTCGGTCACAAAGTGGACTGACTTCAAGATGGTGCTTCTTTTCAATGTCACCTGCAATTACAATGGATGCCAATTATATATACATAATTTTTATTTTTAGTTTTTTTTGTATTTTTAGTTTTCATATTTTTTATGTTTTTAATGAATAGTATTATACTGTATTTAGCACTTCCACAGAAAAAGTATGATTTCTCCAAGACAGACCTTGTTGGAAGAACTCCTCCGTCACTTTCTCACTCCACTGTTTGCTGAGCTCCCACGGTCTGCAGGGGTTACAGATGTCTGCACACTTGAGGGCCATCTGGGATGGAGGAGAGAAGCTTGTTAGTATTGTGTACACAGCATATTATGCACAAGGCATGGATGCAACAAACAAATGCAAGGCATTTTTAACCTGCAAGATGAAGTGCCGATGGCTGGCACTGCTCAAACACAGGTTCTGCTGGTCCAGATGCAGGCGGAAGCGGGACAGGTACTCGTTCTGTTGGCTGATGTCAGTGGCAAGAATCAAAGAGCCTAGATCCCTCTCCATGCTCCGGCTGAAGGCCAAAGATCACATAAAGTTAGACAGGGCTGTATGTATATAGAGAATGTATGTAATATGAGTTTAGGTGCAGCTGCATTTCTAACCTGTCCTCTGGAGGCATGTGTGAAAACAGCCCTGTCTCTCTGAGCAAGCCCACAGCAGATTTCCAGTGATGGTTTTCAAGAACAGAGGTATTCTGCACAGCCACACAAAAATCAGTTTTTAATTCTGCTTTGTTGAAATCACAACAATGGAATGTATATTTGCTCACCCTGTACAGAGAAGCTAAATAGTGGTCAGTCTTGATAAGGAAAGGCTGGTTAACCCCAGGATGATCCAAGTCATGAGTTGCAGCAGCAAGCAGCCCAAGGAGGATGTCGTATGAGGTCAGAGACTTTGCGAGCTGCAGTAAAAAAGGTTTATTACTAATAGTGCTGAAAATGATATCTGCATTTGTGCAGACGAGAGTGTCTTATCTCACCTTTGGCTCTCTTATGTAGCAGTACATAGCCTGTGTGACATCTGCAGCATGGACAGCATTGTGGTAGGGGTTGTCGCTATGGTAATCCTCCTGCACCATGACCAGGAACCTCCAGAGTTTGACCATGTCTAGCTGAAAGAGCTCCACCAGGCCGTACTGGTTCAACAAGTGGAAGGTCAGCGTGATCAGGCTGTTTCCTGAAAAAAAACACATTGTCCTATATTATAATTCTTGTGCTCCTACTAAGAGTGAAATGTAACTAATGACACAAAGATGGCACTGCTCATGACTCAACAGAGGCCTAGGAGCAAAAATCAGATTTACTCACCATTTGTCAGTCTGTCAAAAAGGAAAATATCAAAGTTCCAGTTCCCAACTTTATCCAGCATACACTGAAACAAACATGTTAGGCAGTGTAAATAATGACATGATTTTTCATAATTGTATTTTGTTGTTAAAATGCCTTACTCTGGCTTGTCCAGTGTAGTCTTCATCGAGGATGTGTAGGGGCATCTGCTGGGGGATCCCTCTGAGCAGACGAGATGAGTGCAGGTATCTCTGAAAGCTCAGCAGCCTGTGGACCCTCCTCTCTGGAGCTGAAGCTGAGTTGGAGCCACATCCCAGGCGTGCTGCATCAATCAAACAATGCAAAGCTTTATTAATGACACTTATGAAAAGCCTGTGGGGATTTTGTGTTGTGCCTCAGGCTTATGGGGCTCACACAGTCATTTGGATCACACAAGCTGGTGGGGATCTGACACCAACTCAGCGATACACAAACAGAGGCTGCTGACACAGCCGCCCACTCATAAGCCTCTCGTCTGGGATCACACGGCAGACATGCACACAGAAGCACTGGGTCTAGATCAACTGTGGCTACCACCCGCAAAAACACTGGTCAAATTTGGATCACTTTTGGCCCGAATGTCTTCACATGCATAGACTTTGTGGGTAGTTAATGAAGTAATGGAATGGCTTTTAGACACAATTTACATAATGACACTCCAGATCATCATGTGAGAAAGCAGTGCACAAACACCTGTCAGTCATGTTGAACAGAACAAAAGGTGTCTTGTTTGAGAAGTCACTTGTTAATAACTGATGGGGCCATTGTTCATACTTACTGTGGAGAGTTCGGAAGTCGATGCACAGGTATGGGTGGGAGCTCCTTCGTTCCGGTTCAAATCCAACCTGACTTCTGACTCTCACATCTCCTAGAAGAAATCAGCACTTATTTCCTCTAAAGCCACACGGTGTTCAGTGTCAGCTGTGCTAGGCCAAGTAGTGTTTACAAGACACTTTAGATTTCTGTATGTTGTGCTGCTTATGTGCCACTTGCTTTACCACAGGATAATGACAACTTTGAATAAATCACATGAAAACTTTTCCACATCATTTAACAACCCACTTGACATCTGAAAATTGAAGGCCACTTTCTTATTTGAAACTGTAATTGGAAAAAATGTTTTTGCGTTGCAGAGAAGTTGCAATAGCAAGTTTTTAGCCCACTATTGTGGGTATACAGAAACAAATAAAATATATGTAAAAACTATTTGACCCAGCCCTGCTGTATGATTAAAAAAAATATGCATAAACACACAGCCACACACTCCCACAAACCAGAAGAGAGAATTCAAATGGACAGACGAGTCAATCAGACAGCTGAGCATGCAATGCCATGTCAGGGCGGTCCGCTCTAGATTAGTACTGATAGGCACTGAGAGATCTCCACTGCTCTATGGCTGTTTTAGTAGTTCAGGCAAAGGCACAGGGACAGGCTGCAGCTCTGGTCTGAGGACTGCAGTCCAGAGCAGAGTGAGGTGACAAGAGGGAGCTGTGACACCAATGCAGTAAAATGCATGTTTTTCAGGCAACTACCTTCACAGCAAGATTTCATGTGGAAGTATTTTAACTTTCAAATGTGCAAAGATTTTTTTCGGCAGGGCTTTAGTCATGTTGTATGTGTATTAGACTTGAAATAAGAGCAGTCACACAGGTATGTCCCCCCAACCAGTGCGTTACTTACTTGCAAACAGCTGTTTGAATACTACACAAGCCCCTATCAAAATATCAAAAACTATGAATTACTATTAATTCAGACCAAATGGATCCTCAATCCTTATTTTGCCAAGTGTTTTGTTGTACTAATATGAGGGATAGTTTGGAATAATATATGGCAATGTAACTTCACTGGTCCTGCTAGTGTGTCCAGTATTTGTAACATACTGCTGGAACCACATGTTTACAAACGCTGCATAAAAACACACATCTACTTTTCCCCCACTGTCTGACAACAAAACAAACACACTTTTGAATGTGGTGGTTGATCACGATTGCCTCTGATAGGCTAACTACGAGTAGGCTAACTGACAGTAGGCTAATTGACAGAAGGCTAACTGACAGCAGGATAACTAACAGCATTTGAGTAGTGGATGCGGATGTGGAGGATGTAGATGAAGCCCACATCAATCCCATCCCATCATTATGAGACAACAACAACAACATCAAGGAGAGAGCAGTACACTGCCATGTGAATGAATAATTAGGGGTGTCAAATTATCGCGTTAATTGCGATTAATTAATTATAGTCATATTTAGCGCGTTATGTTTTTTAATCGCGTTAATCTCATTTTTAATCTCTAACTTTAGTGTTTCTGTATGTGAGTTGCTTTATTATAAAACCTGTTTTTATGTGTTGTTGGGACAACAACAACACACACACACACACACAAAACACATTTATAATTTTTTTTATTTCGGTAATTCCACTCATTGCCGGAAAGCCACACAAAACGCGCGCAGTAAGAGCGATGTAAACGTCATGTTAACGTTAGCGGCGTCAGTCGCACAATGGACGAGGTGGAAGAGCCAGTAGAACAGAGTCAGCAGCGCACAGGTAAAAACACATTCGTGTCTTGGAAATTATTCTCCCGACGTGAAATATAAAAGAAAATAACAAATATAATATCGCCTGAAAACAACCTGCATAGGCTCATGATGTCCGCACTACTGTCCTATAGTGACCTGCGACATGAGGGGACACGCACACAAACACACACGCACACAAACACACACAAACAAACACACACCTTCATCATCGTCATTAACCTGAGAACGCGCGGACCACGTTTCCTTCCGTAGTTACTGCGCGGACATCGCTGTCCTCCCGTGAGCCGCGTGTGGATCGTGTTTTCTCACGTACGCGGCGTAAACCGCGCTTCCTCCTGTGCGCCTCTAAACCAGAACTAACACCAAGACTAAAACCAGGACTAAACCAGGACTAAACCAGAACTAAAACCAGAACTAAAACCAGAACTAAAACCAGGTCTAAACCAGGTCTAAACCAGGACTAAACCAGAACTAAAACCAGAACTAAAACCAGGTCTAAACCAGGACTAAACCAGGACTAAACCAGAACTAAAACCAGGTCTAAACCAGAACTAAAACCAGAACTAAAACCAGGTCTAAACCAGGTCTAAACCAGGACTAAACCAGGTCTAAACCAGGTCTAAACCAGGACTAAACCAGGACTAAACCAGAACTAAAACCAGGTCTAAACCAGGTCTAAACCAGGACTAAACCAGAACTAAAACCAGAACTAAAACCAGAACTAAAACCAGGTCTAAACCAGGACTAAACCAGAACTAAAACCAGAACTAAAACCAGGTCTAAACCAGGACTAAACCAGGTCTAAACCAGGTCTAAACCAGGACTAAACCAGGACTAAACCAGGACTAACACCAGGACTAAAACACCAGGACTAAAACACCAGGACTAAAACACCAGGACTAAAACACCAGGACTAAACCAGGTCTAAACCAGGACTAAACCAGAACTAAACCAGAACTAAACCAGAACTAACACCAGGACTAAAACCAGGATTAATCCATTCCAGGACTAAACTAGGACTAAAGTAGGTCTAAACCAGGTCTAAACCAGGACTAAAACCAGTGATCTCATATATAAAGCATTTCTCTATCAATAATATTTTTAATATGGTTAAGGAAAGACTGGACTTTTTATTGTCTTTAAGTAGACAAAAGTTATTATGTTCAGATTTCCTTGTCTTTGCTACTTTACAACAAACAGTTTCTTATTCATGGAGACTTGGGCTCAACAGCCAATTTGGAGAGATTTGTTAAACAATAAATGACTTTATAAAGTCACTTTTTAAAATCTATATTAGTCTTTTGATCTGCCACAATAATGTAATAATGAATTTAAATGAAAATACCTCAAATTGAAGGCTTTTCTCAGCAATTTTTAGGTGAGATTAAAATGAGATTAATTTGATTAATTAATTACAGATCATAATTAATTAATCTCTCAATTTTTTTAATCGCATGACAGCACTATGAATAATACAGGCAAAACAATGCCCATGCCTCAGGGAGTCACACGCATCACTTCAAAACTTATGCCTCCATCGTACTGGTCGAGGAGGACACCAGTTCATGTTCTATCAGCAATGAGTGAACAATGGTTCAAAATGTGCAGATTATAACCTTGGAGTCCAGATTTGTGAAGATAATAGAGGATTACATTGCAGAGACTTCAAAATCTACACTGAGATTTATAGTACTATCACAGGTTGAATGTCTATCTGTGACAAAGAAACCATGACTCCAAAGAAAAAATACAAAAGCAGTTTATAAATCTAAAAATGTGATTTTTTCAGGAATGAGACAAATATATATTTTTTATTTTTCTTACTGATCAACTATATAGTGTTAAATGTTATTGTATTAGAGATCGGATAGTGGGGAAAATGTCATTATTGAGTGTATGTAAACTTTGGTTCCAGCTGTATACCATCTGCAGCAGCATGTGCCTAGGCCTGGCATGCCTGTGTGATTAGAGTGAGGCAGAGTCAATGGGTCCATGTTTCCCCCGCGGTGCATTAGAGCTGATGCTCTGGGGTGGATGTAGGTCATGTCATTAGAACTGATGTGGCCAAAGCTTTGACTCCAGCTATCTGAAAGCGAATCAGCATTAACTTGGCAGAGTAAACGTGAGCCCACGAAAGCCATTTGTGTGCCTCTCACACTCAATAAAATAAAATAAAAAAACTAGAGAGACAGACAGTTTTATGCTGCTGATGTATCCGAATGCTATTATTGATAAGTATTGAGTATTGAAACTCAAGTAAAATGGTTTAAATACCATTTAAAGTGCAGTGTTAGCTATGTGTTACATTTGTTGTTTTGTTAGTTATTTCTTTGTTCCAAGTCAAAATAAAACTAAGAATATACACTGTGAAAATGTAATGTAAACTACTGAAACTGAACAACCAAACAACAACATATTGTATTGACAAGACTGTCCTGCACTGGTGGGCTCTGTCCTAGATGTCTGATAAAGCATTATGCCTTCAATACTATGTATTTCTAAGTATTTCAGCTGGTAAAAATGCTTCTACTTTTAAGGGGCAAAAAGCACATACAATGGATCACGTGCACATGAAAAAAATCATGAGGATCGATTTAATTGAAAATGTAGTCTCCATTGAATAAACCTACATAATGTGAAGATAACAGTTGAGATGGTAACAATTCAAATATTCATCTTAAACTGTATTTACTTGAAAATGTATTTACAGTGTTTTTTGTGGTTAAAGCAATGGGGAGGTTAGAGTCAAAGGAAGAAACCATTTGTAAAATACTTACCTAGCATACGAATGTACAGCGCTGTTTGGTCTGAGCTGTCATAGGAGATGGCCCCTCGTCTCTGTAAAAACAAAATGCAGTGAAAATGTGACTGGGAATAATGTGTAAAGTCCTGTATAAAACCAGTAAATTATTAAAGTGTAGTGTGATGTAGTGCTACTGTGTGTTTTAATCTACAGTTTGTGAATGTACACAAACAGTTACACTGATAAAACCTGCTCTAGCTCCATATCATCTGCCTGATATGGCACTTACACCACTGCTATCTGTCATGTGAGAAACACATGCCTTATCCAAACACACTCACATCCACTCGCATGCAGTCATTTTACACAAATACAAATTACTCCAGTACTAGAATAATGACGTTTTTCATATGTATTTTATTATAAGCCCATGTCCTGCCCCATGGGCTAAAATGAGCTGAACAATAAGCTGGATAAGCTGGTATGATCTTGGTATGAACTTTCATAAACATAAAAATGTATTGTTCAGTTAAAATGTTTAAATATAGGCAAAGACTGACAGTTGTACACAACAGAATATATATAAATAATGATAGCCTGTAGAGTTGTGCAATTAATAAATTTTGTATTTATTCATGATTAAAAGGACTGGTCTACGAATCTCTACGAGTCTCAGCAGAATGTGTGGTAAACACTGATGTATTAGAAATGCCATTCCAATTATAAAAATGGACACAAGCACTTCAACATAACAGATTATGCTTTGTTATTGAGGTGTAAACAACTATTTTAGGAAAGCCTCACAGGGCTTTTATTACTTTGCGTTCATGAAGACAGATTGGTGGGAGAGGTAAACCTATACTGGTATGGCTGTATAAATACACATGCATCAACCTTGGGAACAGACACATACTAAAGATCATATCAAATGACAAGATGAATTATGGAGTTATATTTAAAATGAGGGCACTCTTTACGGGAACAAACATATTGAACCAAGACCTGTATAGTATATCACACTAAAAGGAAGATATGCCGCAAAGATTAATTTCCACTATATCGCAGTGTATCCTTAGCAATTTATAATTATTATAATAATTATAATTATGAGTAAATGCTTTGATCCTTATGTGCATGAAATGAGTGGACTTTCTAATATCTCGGCTCAATGCCTTTAAATTTTTCATGAGCATGGCGTCATTAACAGTATACCTGACCAGGAGCCACCTGTCACCACTGTTGTTTATTAAAGAGACAGTAGGCGAGTGTGTGCTAGCAGCTCTTGTGTGGACAGACTGCTGCTTTGGGCTAAACTGCAGCATTGGCTCACCTCTCGGTGCACTCCATAAATCCTGGCCCCCCTCCAGGCCAAGTCTCCATCGGGGCTCCCCTCAGCTTGGGTTACCCGTTTCACTGACAGGCTGCATGACTGTCCACAAGACTACAGGATGACTTATGGAGCGCTTGACCACACTCATACTCACTGGCTGTCCAAGATTAAGAAGGGTGAACCGGGGGTCTGCCAGGCTAAGTACACTTTTCTCTAGCAGAACAAACATTGTACTAGGGATAAACTATGTGCTGTGTAATTGGAATGAAATATATATATATATACAACATCATATTTTTATCACAATTAAAAACATATTTAATGTAGTTGTAGGCAACAATCATATTTTGAGAATTCATGATTCATCTAAAACATGTAAAAATCTTGGCTGAAGTTATATGTAGGCCTGTTGCAAAAAAAAAAAAACTGACTGAAAAATTAAAGAGGGGGTATTTTATTTCTATGGGATATTAATTGCTCACACATTATATTTAGATCACGATGTTACCTTTTATTGTTTTGAAAATGTTCTATTCCTGAGAAAACAACAGAAAACAACAACAACAAGTTTCACTTTTGTTTTTGGCGCTCTGAGTCAAAAGCCACTCCCTCTTCGCATCCCTTTCACATTACAATCACAGCAACACATTCAGTGTGAATGAAACTATTTCAGATCATAGCGGGTTTGCAAAGCTATAGTGTATTGTTTTGTATCATGCTTTTGTATGTGTTTTGTATTTATGGAGAATTGTCAGACATTTGGAGCATGAGTGATGTAAGCTTGTGGATCAGAGCATTGAACAAATCTTGCAGCTAACTGTAAAGAAGGTTCAGATAGGGCAAGGGAGGGGAGATCACTAAATTAATCAAACATAATCAAAATAAAACCTCTTCAGGTATGTCCAAAAAGTCGATTTAGCATAATAGCCTCTCTTTAAACAAGACAAATAAGGCAGAAATGTACTCTTAGAAAAAATATGAAAAAATATGCTGGAAGCTTAATTTTCTTTGTTTAAATTCTCACAGTCCTTCGTATGCTTGGGGCATTTTAATCAAGAGGTCTAGAGCCAATCCTGTCAGTACAAGCATGTGGTTTGGAGTAGAGTTCAGACTTTTGAAGGAAGATATTTTCTATTTTGTTAACTGATTGAAATAAAAATTATTTCGGGAATCTATATTTTCTTATTCTTTGTGTTTTTGTAAAAGGATATTCATACTTGTGCAGCTGAAGCCCTGTATCTAGGAGGTAATAACAGCTGTCAACTGGTGCAAACAAAAACATGTGCAAACACCAGCGTACATGCTTTCAGGCTCATTACTTCATATGTAAAGGATTAGTCTCAACACACACGCAACACACTTCACACTATTTCTTATCCAAGTTCATGACAGCAGCCAATCCAAAGCTAATATTTTACCGGCTAGCAAACAGTTTAACTCTGGGTGGGTAATCTGCAAAGCAGTATTTTAGTGTCAACAGGCCTCTCTGTTTACACACAGCACCGTGAGCATTATACATAATGTGTGTGTGACACTGGGGGAGCTAGTATTCACTGGAACATTAATGACAAGTGCATAATGCTACCCCTCGGGCTGCCAATGGAGGGTTGACCAGCCGTGCCAACTCTCTCCAAACAAACCTTTTGGCCGGAGCTTACAACCAGCGCACACTTAGAAGGGCTCTTGGCACTTAAGTGCACAATTCGCATGTGTGCTAAAAGAATCAATGTTTAAAGCTCCTATCTATGAGTTTCAGAGTGATGACATTAGAACCGTTAAATGGTCATAAGTCCTAAAAATGGTGCCTTTGAGCAGGTGTTAAGAAATTCAATTTCTGTGCTGTACCAAGGGCACTCACTGCCAGCTCATTTCTTGTTATCTTGGCCTATCTTGGTCATAAGAGGTATAATACTCCCTACAATGGAAACATAGCTAGACTGAACTGTACTAGACTGGAATGGACAACACTATCACACTGTCTTGAAGGTTCATGTCTCCGGGTAATGGGTCTGTACTGACGGTAAATAAACTTCTCCAGTGTTAGAACTCCATACCTCTTCTCTTGGGCTCTACAATTTCTAATACAACGGGTGGAAACTGATACACTGATACATGAATATGTGCATTACTTGTGCATTTTTAAAACAACTTTTGAAAAAAGTGGGAGATGTATTTAAAAATGTCTACTATTGCGACACTGTTTGGAGTTATGCAAAATGACAGAAAATTAAATATATAGTCTGTAACATAAACTTACAGAAAAGAGTTGCAGTGTAATCTTTCAAATAATGGTATATATAATGACATGTCTGCCCTTTAATGAACACCATGTCACTATTGGTGTGATAGTTCATCTTTAACCATGGCATTGACACATTTAATAATAATAATTATGCATAAATTTTATATAGCGCTTTTCTGGACACTCAAAGACGCTTTACATAGCATTATTCATTCACTTGATAATGGTAAGCTACTACTGTGGCCAGAGCTGCTCTGGGGCAGACTGACAGAAGAAAGGTTGCCAATTTGTGCCATCGGCCCCTCCGACCGCCACCATCACTCATGCACACAACACTTTCACACTAGGCAATGTAGGTGAAGTGCCTTGCCTGAGAACACAACAACAATTTTTGCACCTGGTGTCCCACTGTGGCACCTGATTTTCCCTAGTTGCCCATCCAAGTACTAACCAGGCCCCACCTAGCTTAGCTTCTGAGAGCTGATGAGATCAGCCTTTGACAAGACAGTATGCAGTAGGGATGGGCATTCGATGAAATTTTCTTAATCGATCGTCGGAAGAATTAACGATCGATTATCGATTAATCATTAACGTTTTTATATTAAAATTATCATCATTATTATTACTATCTGCATAAATAAATTCAACTTTACGACATATAAACCGTAACGACTCTAGAGCCACATCAGCCCGTTTTAAATTATAATGTGTTTAATTCAGTTTTGCGCAGCTCTCACAGAAACGAAACTTAAAACCGCATGGCTAATTTGCATAAACTAAGCGAAGATAAAACTACAGCTCTTGTGTCGCTGATGCGGTCAATTTCTGTTGGACTAAAAGACATGACTCAGTGGAATACAGGTTAGTGTGACCAGATTTGCGTTTGTCAAAACCAGGACACCGTCCGGGGGGGACCCCGGGGACTCATCATCGACATTGCGCGACTCTCACCTGGAAAATCTTTCCCACTGGACACAGAAACATATGTGCTGCTTTATACACTGTGCACATGGCCTCACACTTGTCCCGAACGCAACGGAAAGCGTGGAATTTCTTGTACAAATCATTGTTAAATACGCATTTGTGCTTCGATACGTTGCTGACTGACTGTGTGTCTGCTCGCTGCTTCTGAGTGCAGAGACACATGTACGGACCCCTGTTTGGTCACACTACACACAGCAACCTACATTCGGTTTGGTTTGTCGATTAAAATGAACGTTATCGATGAAATTCTGAATGATCAATTATCGATTAATCGACTAATCATACCCATTCCTAGTATGCAGACTTCTAGCAGATTTATATCAGATTTCTAATGGATTGCCTCATATAGGTTGAATTTTGTCATCGGAATCATGAGGACTAAAGCCATAGCAATTAAACACATGCTTTTGAATAGGAAAAAGATTCTTAAAAGTCCTTCAAAATGAAAGTATTGCAAATTTTGCCCACTCCAATTTTGATTACACAGTAAAATAGTTGTGTAGTGAGAGAGAATTGTGCACTGACATCAGGAGTCTGAG